GAACTGATTAAATTAAAAATAAAAAATCTAAGCATAAAATATTGTAAGGAAAAAAGTAGAAACACAAAACAAAAAATACTAAAATTAGAAAACGAACTTGAGCAAATTGAGAATCAACATCATATAAATATCAACATGTTACACAAAAAAGAATTAGAAAATGAACTCGATAAACTATATGAAAACAAGGCAAAAGGAGCACAAATAAGATCAAGAGCTAAATGGATAGACGAAGGAGAAAAAAATTCATCTTACTTCTTAAGACTTGAAAATAAACATCAGTCTAAAAACGTTATTAATAAAATTACAAATGCTGGTACTACTTTTGTAAACACAAATGAAATTTTAAATCAGTTGTGTACTTTTTATGAAAATTTATACTCTTCAAACGATGTACCAAGTGAAAGTATCCAATCATATCTAGAACAAACAAATATAATATCTATTATGTCAGAGGAAGATAAAAAAGATTGTGAAAAATTTCCCACTCTGCAAGAATTTTCAGAGGCAGTGCTTGGAATGAAAAATAATAAATCACCAGGTCTAGATGGCCTGCCTGTCGAGTTTTATAAAATATTTTGGAAAAACATTCGTTATTTTTTGTTCGAAGCCATATCTAAAATATATATCGACGAAGAGCTTACCTCAACACAGAAGTGTTCAGTGCTCTCCCTTATACACAAAAAAGGTGAATTAGATAAGTTAGAAAATTACCGACCAATTAGCCTCACTAATTGTGATTACAAGATAATTGCATTTGTTTTTGCGAAAAGACTACAAAAAGTGATAGACGGATTAATAAGTAGAAATCAATCAGGTTATATAAAAGGACGATATATTGGTAACAATGCGAGACTGATTCTTGATATATTTGAATATTGTGAAAACACGGATACGGATGGTGTACTTTTATTTGCCGATTTTCAAAAAGCATTTGATTCAATCGAATGGAATTTTTTATTCAAAACATTAGAAAAATTCAATTTCGGTGAAAATTTTATTAAATGGATAAAAATTTTATATACAAATCCGCAATTCACTATAAAAAACAATGGATGGATTTCGAGAAAGTGCAATATGAAAAGAGGAATACGTCAAGGTTGTCCGGTTTCAGCATTATTATTTTTATTTGCAATGGAAGTTCTAAATGAAAACATAAACAGTTCAGATTTAGTTAGAGGTTTTAAACATGAAAACATGGAAAATGAAATAAAATGCATACAGCATGCAGATGACAGTACCTTTCCCTTAAAGGATATAAAGTCTTTGAAAAATGCCATAAAAATAATTGAAAAATTTGGAAATGTATCAGGAACCAAACTTAACTTATCAAAAACAGAATGTATCTTACTGGGGAAGCTAAAAAACATGTTTAAAGATAATACATACGTAGGAAATGTTAAGATCAATATAAATACTGTAAAATGTCTTGGAATTTATATTGGACACAACAAAATAGAGTGTAATGAAAAAAACTGGCTATGTAAAATGAAAGAGTTTGAAAAAATTCTGGACTCTTGGAGAAAAAGGAAATTAACTATTTTCGGAAAGAGTCAGATTATTAACTCCTTAAATTATTTCTAAACTTTTATATATGGCAACTATACTTGAAAACCCAGATCAGGAAATTATAAAGAAGGTAAATAAAATAATTTTCTCTTTTATATGGGGAAAAAAAGAAAGAATCAAGCGTAAAACTCTTATCAGGAAAATATCAGAAGGGGGGATAGGTATTACCGACTTTGAAACCAAAATTAAAGCCTTAAAGGCATCATGGGTTACCAAACTTGTTCAATTAAACAACGATTCAAACAAACTGTTAAGTGCTTGTTTAAGAAGATGTAATATAGATATCCCTTATTTGTTGAATACAAATATAACTAAAATACAAGACTTTAAAATTAAATGTCTCCCACTGTTTTATAAAGAAGTAATATGTGCATTCAATGAATGTAAACAAAATAATCAGGAAAAATTCCAGTTACAGAATATATGGTTTAACAAAAAGATAACTTATAAAGAAAAACCACTTTATCTTTCAAACTGGATCAAAAGTGGTTTTAAATATGTTAATGATCTATTTAATGACCAAGGGTTTAAAACAATAAATGAAATTAAAGAAAAATTAATATGTTCCCAAAACTACCTTTGTGAATATATGATTGTGAAAAGTGCATTTAAAAAACATATTCCAGAAATAAACCTACAATGTAAAGCAAATAAATGTAATCCACAGCTTCGCTTCAACTTTCAAGGACATTTTGAAAATGTTGAGGGCAAAAAATCTAAATACTTCTACAATATTCTGTTAAAGAAAGCATCAAAAAATCCTATAATGGAAAGATTTTGGGATGAGAAATTTAAGATTGATGATTACCACTTATGGGAAAATATTTACATGGAAAAGGTCAAAAGAATATTTGATAAGAATGTGTCTGAGTTCAATTTTAAATTAATGCATAACTTACTGACCTGTAATAAGTATGTTAGTAAATGGAAAAAAGACTTAAATGTAAACTGTTCGAATTGTAATGTAGAAGAGGACATTAAGCACCTCATTTTTGATTGCTGTATAGTAAAACCAATTTGGAGTAAAATAACATTGCTTTTAAACATAGATGTGTCATGGAAAGTTATAGTCATTGGTTTTCCAACGTATTGTAATAAAAATACCTTCATTTTAAACAATACATTGTCCCTCATTGCCTTCAAAATATATAAATATAAAATGAAATGTAGACTTTTAAATGAGGATGTGACTAGTGAGGGTTTATTGTGTTTCTTAAAAAATGCACTTGCTCAGTTCTATTTCATAACAAAGTTATCAAAAACTATTGTATGTAATTTTGATATCATCAGAGAACTGTCAGAAAAATTATGAAATTATATATTATATATTGATCCAAAGGTGACCTGGCCTTTGGGGACTACTTTCGTAGGGGGAAAAGTGGACTCTTGTGCGTTGGTGTCCCCCTACGACTATTTCTTATGTCTGTTTTTTTCCTTAATGCTATATGTACATGAAAATCTATAAAGTACAAGTATGTGGAATATTGTATTTTTTATATATACAAATAACTGTATTTTTTTTTTCAATAGTTCTAGAATGTACTTACTCAGTACAAGTATGTGGAATATTGTATTATTTATATATACAAATAACTGTATTTTTTCAATGGCTATATTTTATTGAAGTTTGGACATCTGAATACATGTATATCAAAAATCAAATTTAATTAATTATTTCTATCTGATCCAGGGAGCCCCTGGCACCCCAGGTGAAGATATATTAGGAGGGCCTCCGCGGAGGTATTACCTCCAATTTTTTTTTGTTAATTATTATTGAAATAAAAAAAATAAAAAAAAAAAAAAAAAAAAAAAAAAAAGAACTGAAGTTGAATATCATATATTGATAAAAGTTGATGAAGAAAACAACACTGTTGCTATGGTAACCAAGAAGGGAAAATGTTCGATTTTGTGAACTTTATATCAATATTAAACCCTGTGTGCCAACTTCTTGCATCCACTTAGAGATTGGATGATAGTCAAAATTAAAAGTCAGGTTAGCTGTTAATAAATATCAATCATAAAAGTTTTGGGAATCTACATTTAAGGGTATGTATCCAAGGAAAGAAAATATTTTTCAGGTTTTTAAGCATATATTTTCTGCTTATCTCCATAGCAACACTCTATTTAAAGAATCTAATCTGATTTTTTTCAAATGGGAAAATTAGGAGCACACCAACACCCTTAAAAATTGATCATTAGTTATGAGGAAATGTGCTTTTTTAAAAGATAGGATCAGATTTAAACAAACAGAGTGTTACTTTGAAGGCTCTCCGTGGTGTAAAAACCTTGGCAACCATTGCCAACCAAAATGAAATATCATATTTTGTTCTTGGTATATGTTTCAAGGCTCTTTTTTGTATTATTTGGTCTTATTTCATCCTATAATTGCTTTTTATTTTTACGTGTATGACTTTATATAATTCAATGAATATTTTTTTTTACTTTTGAATACTTTGTTACCATAGTAACGTATGTAATAGCTGATTTACCAAACATGTTTATCATGCATTTGAGACATCTGACCTTCAACTTTTGGAAACAGTCATTGCCAATTGTTTGCTTTGCCGCAAATGTTAACTATGGGGCTCTAAACATGTTAAAAAATGCCATTTTTCGAACTTAAAGACATGTTGCCATGGTAACTATAAAACATAGCAACCAATTTTTGCCTGATTTAAGTTTAGGGTATCAATGACTTTTATCATAGAAAGTTTGGAGAAATTCTGAGACTATGCGTGCCACAGCTCCTATATAAAATTTCAAATCATTACAGAGAATGCCTCTTAATTACTGGTTTTCCAGAGGCATATGAAATTTAAGAAAAAATAGAACTTCCATGGACGTTGATTAAAGGTGTGGTCGCTTTTTGGAGGCTCTGTTTTTAGTGCATATCCCCTTAGACAAATTAAAAGCATTAATGGACGTTGTCGGCTGTCACACTGTTCTTGACACTGCTACTGAAATTGGAACATCATACTGGTATGGAAAGATGAGTAGTAATTTGAAATATGAGGAAAAAATGAAGAGAAGTTGGTGGGAGATGATATCCAGGCTTTTTTCTTGAGAAAAAAAAATGGAGGAGAGGGCAGGATTTTATAGAATTATGTATTCAAATTGAACATTAGGGTGAGATGCTTCTACATGTATATTGTGCCGTGACGTATCTAACTTGACGTTACATCGAAGTCTCCCCAAGGTTTCACAACTATCCATTTTGAGAAAGCTCGTGTGACCTTATTGGTAATTGGAATGTGGTGAAATTTTCCAATATTGTTGCATTATGACTCTATATTATAAATATGCCTGTTGATTGTTTTCATGAAATCATGATAAAATTTTAGAAAGAAATTCCACGAACTTTTTGATCAACCCTCGTACATGTTTATGCAGAAAACGTTACTTAATTCAAACAAAGAAGCAGGAGAAATTACCTAGCTAGTTTACTTAGACCAAGAACCCGCTTGTTTGGCAAATATCCTATGGACACCTGAAAAGAGACATAGGTTTTAATGACAATTTATTGTACAGTCAGTTGATTCCTTTTATGGATTACACAGGAAAATATTGTATGTTCACACCTGAAAATAATACTGTAACTATTTATTCTTGAGAATTTCACTCTTGTCTAAAGTACATTGTATTCCTTAGAGTACATAGAGCAATATAGTCACAATACTTGAAAATTTTGTCTTGCATATAAAAATTAAATAATATTATCTCATGAAAATTAAAGAAGTCACAAAAATTAAAATATAAGGATCCTCTGTATACACTTTACAGTGCTGAATATAAAATAATGGCATACTGACCTTCCCCATAAAAGGCACCATATGATGTTCACACAAAGAAAACATCTCTATATCCTTCACTATCACCATTTCATCATGGTCCTCATCAAATATGGCATCATTCAAAATATCTGCAATAAAATATTCATAAATAACAGCATGAATAAGAACCTTATGAGCATTGTTTATTGGCTTTTAGATGACATTACCTTTGAGTTTGGGCTGATTGCTCTTTTTTTAAAATAATGATCAGTCACAAACTAACTTGAATAAAAAGCAAAAACATAAACTTTACAATTTATTGTTCAGTTATCCCTAAACTTAACTACAGCAATATTTCTTTCTTTTTTATATATTTTTGTTGATACTACGTGGTTTATTTGGGGCATATTGAGTTTTTGCCCTGTCCATCCTTCTGTCTGTCTGCTTGACAAACAAAATCTTTATCCTATAATTGTCATATATATTCATATTTCACATGTATATTTCTTGTGACAAGATCTTACCTTAGGTCCAAACTGTTTTTACCTTTTTTTTGACCTTGAAGTTTGACTAACTTTTGAAAAACTTGTATCTTTAATTGCCATAACTTTTGAATTGTGAGCCTACTTAAAATGTGTATTTCATGTTCCAGAGTTGGGCATCATTATTTTTACCATTTGACTCTGACCTCACGTAGAACTCTGGCATCAAAACTTTTAATACATTGCACTGGGTGTGGCCATAAGTCTTTCCTTTAATGATATCATAAAAAATTAAAATTGTTCAGTTTAATAAGAGTCAGATTTTTACAGAGTTTTTGTGTGAATTTTTTTGATTTCAGTAATTGTGATAAAAAGCTTGAACAATACAAGTTGAAAAGATTTGTTGTCATTAATTTTGATGTAAACGCTAATTGACAAATTGAAAATTGTCTGAATTTTCAAACAAAAAGTCGCCAACGCAGGCAATTATACATAAAATGCTTCTATTGCAAAATAAATACATCCTCCTCAAAAATCAATAGGTTTTACTGGGAGTGATCAGATGAAAGTCACAAAATGATTGCCCTAAATCAAGACTGTCTAATTTTCCTGAGCCAGAAAAAACCATTTAACTTGAGACTAAATCAAAGCCAAATGTTTTTGCATATGTCATCACAAGTGACGCAACATGGAAAATTGTACATATATAGAACCATCCCTCACTCATTATCCAAACAGATCTTACCCAATATCCCATTCACAAAAAAAAATTGGCATTGATATCAATACTTTTGTTAAGTTAAATAGAATCAATATTGTCCATCTAAATCGTCATGACTTGGATGTTGATTTTTGTCCCTGACTCCCTGGCTTTCAGCCTCTTCTGAATGGCTTTACATCAATGAATATTGATGTTCTCCCACTGATTTCCTAAACCTTTCTGTTTTGCAATCACATTCCCTATTACTTGTGTAAATTGCCAATATGTATAGATAGCTGGAACCCAAAGCAATTAGCCTTGGACACTTGTATTCTTAATGCCAGTGAACTTCCGTTTTTGTACTGAAAATACCAGACATTTTAGATGTCCTCAGAAAGAAACTGACCATACACTGAATATAGATGACATCTTTCCAAACATTGGAAGAATGAATTAATTGATCACCTTTGAATTAGAAAAAAGTTCAGCTTTTACATTAAATATTGCAGTGTATGTATAACCCTTAAAGATTTAATTTAGCATTGAGGTTCTATTATTGGCATACACTCAAGGTAATTAAGCTACTGCAAAATGATTGATTCAAGATGGCAATAAAACATTTCATTGACAAGTCATTTTAGAAATAGGGTTTTCATAACTCCATAGTCAGTGCACCGTGCCATGGTAGCTTAGTTGGTAGAGCACTAGCTCCTTGATCTGAAGGTTTTGTGTTTAAGTGTTAAAGTCAGTTGTAATACATGTGTAAGAATGAACTGTTCCTTCGTCAAATACTCATCACTTTCAATTGGAAGTTTTGGGTTATTTGGATGGAACCGTTAAAAATTGAGACCAAGTGTCATGGTGAGCAATATGGCACAAGTAGAGAATCTGCACTGCTTGATGGTTACAAGTGTCGAGTAAAGGTCTAAGTTCATGCAGGCCCGTAGGAAGAAATTTCAGTTGGGGGGAGGGCACAGCCAAACATTTTCAGCTGGGGGGCAATATCATCCAACAAATCCTTAAAAAGCAAAAAAAGTTTTCAGTTTTTATTGAGGGGGCACAAGCATATAAGTACTTAAGTTTTCTATAAGTATCGGCAAAATTATTGAGGGGCACACCGAGGAAAGAATTAATGTAAAAAGAGACTTCTTAGATGGTTTCAGCAATTTTGGGCAAGTGATGGGTATAATGTACGTATGATCAGCAGAACACAAGAAGGCCAAAAGATGGGAAGTTGGATGGAAATGTTCAATGGTGTCACTGTCTGATGTCAAAAAGGACAGACAGTTAGAACAAGATGTGAAAGAGCAAGAGCCATCTTATGCATAAAATGGCCCTGTACTTATATCAATTAATTAACTATCACCCTCTTTCCCATTTCATATATCAAAATAAAGTAGACACTTAGTGCTTTCATTTTCTATTAAAAAAATTTCGTTTTTAGAATCCAGATATTGGAAAACAGGTTTGAGAAATTGCAATGTTCTTCAAATTTGCAGAAAACAGGCGTATTTGACTACCTTCAGCAAATAATTAAAATATGAGCACAGCCCACGATCCAAAAAATAAAACATGTTTTTTGATTTTCAGAAACAGAGCTTTCATTATGCATTTGCAAATTTTGGATCAGGGGTTGTGCTCTATATGAAATATTGAAAAAATGCTTCAACTTTAGGTCATTTTCAAAGGAATTTACAGGATATGAGGAAAATGACACATTTTATGACGTCATAATGCATTGACGAGATGGGAAATTACGTCACAATTAATAGATACGTGGTCACCAAGACTCCAAGTGATAAATACTGCATTTGCAGCCTAAACTGATCGGTTTTGATTTTTCAGAAATTCTCAGGGCCAAATAAGGCCCAACGTGGCTCTTGCTCTTTGAAGTTTGTTTTATGCTACTCACTCATGCTGAAAAAAATTTGACAGAGGACTTGTAATCATGAAAAGAGTGAGTGTATGAAGAGTACCAAGAATTCTTAAAGAAAGCGTAATTTGTGAACGTGTTCGTGAAATCTCAAGTATTTTTTAATGAAACGAAGGGAAACATTTAAAAGTATATGTATACTTAAGGAATCACTGTCTAGTTAAGAGAGTATGCCAGGGACATCAACAATAGTGGGAAACATGGGATAATTTGCATAACGGGCAAAGCCCGTTATGCTAAAATTAACCCATATTTCCCACTATAGTTGATGTCCCTGGCATACTCTCCTAACTAGACAGTGATTCCTTATATTTTCATTTCATAGTGAAATAAAATGGTAGATTTAGACTTTAGAAATGTAGACATAGACTTAAATTACACGAGGACTTCCATGCCAATTTCAGTAGTCCTCGCCAAATGACGTCAAACACCTAGGCAGCCGCACGAGATTTACATGCACATTTTGCCTCCTTTAGCGTCAGACACAGAGACAGATGCGCACGAGATTTGCATGCATTTTAGGCCTCCTTAGCTCCTGACCTATCGACCTGCCTAATTTACATTCCGGCAGAATTATCAAGAAATAAACTCCGACAACTTTCAAAGAGTTATCGCAGAGAAAAAAAATTAGAAATGGAAATATGATGGTGTGTATCCATCATATACCATTAACGCACATTGCATGTATAATAATCAGATAGTTTAGAAAGTATAAACCATATTAATTTGAATTTTTCAGGTCTGAATTGAAATAACTATAGCTTTCATCATTTATAATTCTGTTGTTTTACATCAACTTTTATCAATTTTATCAAAGTTGTTGCAGACTTTTGGATCGACCCTTATGAAAATCACATGATATCAGTTCTTATGTTTATTGTACAGATGTAAAGCAGAGCTGCCAACATTCTGAAATAACAAATAGTAAGGCGAGGTCTACGGACCACCTAGGCCCTCTGCCGCTGATGTTGTTTTGTAAATGAACATGCAATTTGAGGCATGTTTCTATTCTGTTTACTTTAAAACACTGACGTGAATGTGATTGGCCTTCTAAAACCGAAACGATGATACAAGCAGGCGTTGTAAGAATAATGAATATATTATAATTGTAGAAACTATATAGACTGCCAGCTATGAAAATACGGGTATTATAAACTTTGAACGAAAAAAAACTGCAATCGGAAGAATATAGAGAGAAATCGTAAGGCGTATTTTAGACGCTGATTTCGTACGCCTTACGCCAAAATCGTAAGGGTTGGCAGCTCTGGTAAAGTTGTGACATTACTTTTGGATCACGGCCCCTTAAATGTAATTATCACATATCAGTTTTTATGTTTATTGTACAGGTGTAGCTAAGTTAAACCAATAAATGCTTTTTAACAGCTCCCCTGACAAAACTGATAAACCTATTCACTGAATTCATTTTATTTCTCCTTATAACAATACTATACTACATGTATTAAATTACAAACTTTTGTTTTTCACAGTTCTCGTACATTTAATTAATTATCATGTACCCTGTCAATAATAACTGATATTCGATAATGTCAAAATAATAATATAACCAAGAAAGCGTCATGGTGAACCCAGCATGAAATTTTAAATAAATGCCGTTATGCTGTACAGTAAAACACACATATAATGAATTGACACTTACTGCTAATTAGGTGATTTTAATTTCCTATGGCTTAAGTATTTGTGATTTGTGAACTTAATTAACAAATATAATGAATGTTTGTAATAAAACAAAATATTTGTACCAATGGCACTTCGTTATAATAAAGTTGTTTTACTGTAAGAGAACGGAAAAATAATATGCATTTTTTCCCCGCAATAAGTAATTGTTATCTTATATATCTTCTAATTCTTTAATTTTTGTTTTTTTCTTAATATTAGTCTATAAGATAAGATAAGATAAGATATGTTTTATTACTAATTCAGTGCCCAAAAATATGAGCATTAAAGAGAACTATATAGTCTATATATAGAGTAAAACAGAAATAAATATGCAAATATTAATCAAAATAAACTTTGTAACATTATTATTATTATCCACCGTCTCTTAAAATCATAACAATATTGTTAAGAAACAGGATGAAGGAAATTGTTAAAATTTTACTCACCATTCATACTCTCTCTGTATCCCTTTGTGAAAAACATCAGAGCTTTTGCTGCCCTTTCTGGGGTTTTCAGAAGACCTGCTCTTGTAGGATCTTCGCCTACACCACAAAGAATGTCTTTGTAGCTGCTGGACAATTTTTCCTGGAGAAGTTTTTCTGAACTCTGTTTATCCATGACATTCTTGGAAGTTTCGCGATGCGGATCTGCCTGCTTTTTCATATCTCCAGAGTCTTGTGTAGAGAAAGAAGTAAGCAACGATTTCACAGAATTTTCCCTCTCTGCAGCAAAGTCAAAGCAATTCTGTTGATTTTCTTGATATCCTGATTTGGTCGCTAGTAAGTGAGTGTCCCCCATATCAAGCACTTATATATTTGACAACAGTTGTGAACAGCTGATGATAATCGATTCGAAACGAACGCGCTAAATCCTTGCTCTGGTCTTTAATGCTGCGCTCACAGGAAAGCAAGTAGTTGACTTCAATTAACACAATATGAATATACAACCAATTCCGATATGCATTAGCGTGACCGCATTGTCGTCACCAAGTACGCGCAAATTAAACACCTACCCAGACCCTCCCCCTTCTTGATATCGGAAATACCGTAAAAGTTGAAACCTTAAAGAACAGAACAATGTTTTCCGCATTACTTAAGTTGAACGAAGTCCACATCAACATTGACCGAGAAACCAAAAGGACGAAGGACTTGTAGTAGAAAAAACAAAAAATAAAAAAATGAACATTTCTGGCTGAGGATAAACCAACAAAACTACCGAAGTCAAATTCAACAAGTGAAGATGTTGTTTGTGAAATACTGATGCCCCTGAATGGTGGGACATGCAGCTTATAGCGAGAGGAATACTTCTGTTAAATATGAAAGCCATATAGTACTTACTGTTCAGAAGTTATGGCCAAGGTTTAATCTTTTTAAAAAGTGGGGTCAAACTCTAAGGTCAAGGTCAAAAACATTTATACCCATTAAAACTCTTGTCACATTGAATAAACATGTGAAGTATGAAAGCCCTAGAAACAATTGTTCAGAAGTTATGGCCAAGATTTGTTTTGTACTTTTTGTAAAAATGGGTCAGTAAAGGTCAAGAGGTCAAATTTGGTGGTACTCAAAGAAAGGTCTTGTCACAAGGAATACACCTATGAAATATGAAAGCCATATAGCAAGCTGTCAAAAGCTATTGGAAAGTTAAACAGACAAAGCAGACAAACAGATAGACAGACAAACAGCTAAACAGACGGACAGACACGGCAAACTTTATACCCCCGAATCTCAGACAGGGCAAACTTTATAACAACCCCCCTCCCCGAATCTTTGATTTCGAGGGGAATAGAAAATGTTATTTTTCAAACACTCATATGGTCCTACCAGTATAGGTTACATCATAGAAGCCGAGTAGTATTGATTATATCGTTTTCATGGGGCGTGGAAATCGAGGGCGCGGAGCGAAAAAATTGGCAGATCGAAAACTTATTGCATGATATGCAACGGAATTTCCAAAATATGAATGGGCTGCTATGAAAAAAAAATGTCAGAAGAATTAAAGGAACCTCGGTTTCTTTTAAGAAAAAAATGGACGATTTATCCCCTTTTGACCATCACGATGAATATCATTTCTAAGACCTTACTGCACAACGATAGGACACTTCAAATCACATACCAAAAAGTGATTAGCGCTGGGATATCATATTACAAAAAATGTTACAGGAGTTTAGGGAAACAAGTTTTAATGGATAAACCGACTTAATTTTGTTAACCAAAAATCTCCCTGGAAGAAAAAAAATATATATAAAAACTTAACCTTATAGCAAATCTTCAAGACACGCAAATTATTCCCAATGAGAGAGAGAGAGAGAGAGAGAGAGAGAGAGAGAGAGTTACCAGCCAGATAAAATCGCTTTTTCTATACCCTACCCCCGGGTCATAATAAAAATTTCAAAATCTTTTTTGTACATGTTAACATGTTTAAATCAACTTCAATCATATTTCAAAAGATGATACAGCTTCTGCCTGAAATGTGAAAAAATATTTTAAAGAAGAAGAAAGTTTTACGGACTGACCAGGTTCGTAAGGTAGGGCATAAAAATAAATTGACAATAGACACTTCAAAGACTCTCTTTCATTGCCTTAATATTATGTCTAATGGTATTTTGTGGCGAAAGTTGGGATAAATTGTTCTTATCCCGGTCCGACTGCCACTCTATTTTCTTTTTTCAAAACCCTCTCACCTTTTAAGCAGAAGCCAATTCATCTTTTGGGATTATAGTAGGCGGTGTCCTATTGTTGTGCATAACGTTTACTTTGGTTTTCATTTTTACCCTAAGATCGAAAAAGGACATTTTACCCTACAAACCCATGTTCCCAAAGCTCTTCTTACATTTTTTGGACCATGACTGTTGCTGTCCTTTAGAAGTGCAATAAGATTTCGAAATTTCATTTTCTCCTTAGTGATCTATCGAAAGTATAAAATACTATTTTTTAGGTCACCTGAGTAAACTCAGGTGACCTATTGCTATCCGTTTTCGTCTGTCGCCGTGCGTCGTTCGTAACATTTGAACATTTTCAGCTTCTTCTCTGAAACCGCTCAACCAATTTCAACCAATTTTGGCGTATGGCATACATGGGTAAAGGGGAACAAAAATTATGAATTTAATGGTCCCTGCCCCCCTGGGGCCTGGGGAGAAGGGCCAAAACAACTAGAATTAGTGCAATCTTTAAAAATCTTCTTCTTTACTCGTGGACATCAAGCAGTCAAACTGTTGGTACACTGTAAAAAATAACTAGTTAATGTCACGAAGAAAACTAGTAGATTCACTGTCCATACAATCACTACCTTAATAGTAGTTTTACCATATTATTGGTATATTTACTAGATAAGATTAGTAAATTTAGAGTTGATGAGTAACTTTCACTAGGTATCTAAGTATCTATACGACCCCCGCTCCACAACTCACTATCTTAACCAGAAAAGTGGAAGTTTACTAATCACGACCAACGCTTTACGAAACACACTAGTTAAATTCACTAGGTTTTTCTTTCAGTGTATGATTGTAATCAGCATTGAGTCCTCTACCAAAATTGTGAATTTCATGGCCCCAGGAACAGGGGTTCCAGTGCTAGGGCGGAGCTAAATAGATTATATAGTGAAAATGCTTAAATTCGTTGAAATTGTTCTTTTCTGCTAATGGGCATTAAATAAACTAACCAAGTGCATAGTTATGTTGAATAAGGCTGCCTCTTCCAAAATTGTGAATTTCATGGCCCCATGGTCAGAGGTTCTAGTGCTAGGGCAGGGCTATAAAGATTATATAGTGAAAATGCACTATTTCTTTGAAAATTTTCTTTTCTGGGCGTGGGTATTAAACTAATGAACTATGTACACAGGTAGGAGGAGGAAGGATGCCTCTTTGAGATTTGTGAATATCAGGGCCCCTGGGTTAGGGCTTCTTGTGTTAGGGCGGGGCTCTAATGTTTATATATAATGAAAATGCATGAATTCTTTGAAAATCTTTTTCTTTGTTTCTGGGTATTATGCCAGTGATCTAAGTACATATTCATAATGAAGAAAGCTGTCTTTTCCAAAATGGTTAATTTTCGGGCCCCTGGGTCAGAGGTATTTGGAGGGGGGGGGTACATAGTCTGAAAATGAATTAATGCTTTGAAATTTGGTATTAATCAACAATTTATGATGAAACAAAATTCATGATAAAATTTCTAAAATGTTTAAATATGTAGCCCCAGGGTCCGTGGTTCCTGTGGGATGGGGTGCACAACTGGTTACAAAGTGGAAATGCAGTTTCTCTTTGTTACTCTGATGTACCTCTGGGTATTAAATAAACAAAGTAAACACTTCAAGTGTGTAATTATGATAAGCAATGGTGCCTCTTTCAAAATTGTGAATTTCATGGCCTCTGGTTTAAAACATGAATCAAATTCAATTGTTGGAAAGTTGTTACAGGATACTCAGGTGACCTATAAGGCCCGTGGGCCTCTTGCATACAAAGACCGTGTTCATATATCTCCTCTTAAAATTTACGCAAAAAATAAAATGTTATTCTTGTCCTGAAGATGTTCAAAAGGGTTTTGATATTTTTCTTCACCGTTGGGACCTTTTGGTGTTTTTCAACAAAATCTATGTTGTAGAAGCCTTTGATTTTTTCTGTAGTACCCACATCATCTTCTGGATTTTGGTGATGTCCCACAGGTAGATGAACAATTTGGTTTCGAAAGTTGTGTCAACAGAAGAGGCTTTATATATAGCTTATCGTTTTTTTTTTTAAAAATTAAAATACTCCAATCCTCAGCCAGGAAGGATATCTGTACGTATTTAATTTAATTAAATTCAAAAAGTCTTAAAATGAAGCTTGAAAATTAAAATCTTTTCAAGCAACAGTACAGTGTCATTTCATACCTCTCAATGTGCTTCAATGTTCTTTGAAGTTCTCAGAAAGGTCTTATAAAAAGTTAGAAAAGTATTTAAAATTTTAGATTTCGAAGAAACCATAGATACCAATGTTTATTTCCATGATTTGGTCACGGTAATTACTGTATAAACGAGTAGGCAATAATAGGTAATTTAATATTCTTTAATTCTTTTTTTTCCTTATGCCATATGGCACATCAGACAGTATGACACAATAATACATGTGTCGCGAACTAATTGAATAACTTCCATAAAAGAAACAATATTTGGTTTCAGTGTTGATTATATTTTAAATTAGTCCTCTCCAATTTTAATGCACATCTGCCACTGTTCTGCTCATGCGCGAATCACGTGATATAGGCGGTCACGTGACCCCTTCCGTAGCGTTCTGTCACAAAAGCTGAAAGATTTTTCTGAGTTTTATATTTCTTTCCACGTAAGTTAAATTCTATAACAAGAACTATTAATTTGTCAGAAATGGTCAAATCTCGGCAACAGAATGGGTGGATAAGAATATCTTTTCCAAAAATAAGCATGGCGACCATCAAATCCCAAATCTTCTGTCTTGGGAGAGACGTTTATTCAAGGTGCATAGAGAATAGGTGCCTCCTTTTCATCATATCTAATATGTTTAAAATCCAAAGTAAACTATATCTAAGGTTATTAATAATTATGTTATTAATAAAATATTCAACTATTTTTAAAAGTGTAAGTTGGATATTTTTGATAGCAAATTGCCTAATTAAAAACACACCTCTTTTCAAACTTGCTTTTACTAGGCAACATAAAAAGTATCATTTTTAACCATCTGCCTTCCTTCCCTAAAACGATCAATTCAATCATTGATTGAATTAATAAGAAGTCATTTGTCTTAATAAACAGTGTACAATTTATTAAACGCTACTTCAAAGCAATTTCTAAGATATACCATAAATTTTACAGTCGTTTGTTGAACGAGTACAACTGAGACACCCATTTTTCGTCACAAGTGACCTACATAGTGACGTCATTTTCACACTGTGACGTCATTAACAAGGAGCAATACTTTATTTAGCAAATGCTATTTATAGAACCTGTGTGTGTACCATTTTTTTTTCTAATCTGAATTGTGGTTTTTTAGATATAGAGATAGTTCGCAAACTTTTTGATCACCCCTC